CCATCCGGCTCCTGCCCTTCCCTCTGGGCCGCTCACGAGATGCAGTGGCAGCAGCAGCCCTGTCCTCATCACCTCCTGCAGACCCTGTTGGGGCCTCCTCTGAGCTAGCAAACAGGATGCTCTGCTAGCCCCAGGGTTATAAATACCACCTCTGCTCAGCTGTGTTGGAGAAGATGGTGGTAGATACTCTCATGCTATCCTGCTTCCTGTGTGAATGAGAGTTACAAGGTGTTTTGCAGCTAAATGCACAGAGGGGGTACTAGCTCAGGTCTCTTGCTATAGGAGGTGCTAGGCATGGGGCAGGGGTCTCTCCAAACTCAATCTCGCCCTACCCTCATGTCCTTTACACTCAGTTCCTCTATTTTCAGTTAATTGCAAACAGTACATAAAAATTAAGAGTTGAATAAGCCTCAGCTACTAGGAGCACAACTCAGGGAAGCCCCCTGCAAGGCAGTCCCAGCCTGGCTGGCTGCTTTTCCCAAGGGATCTGCCCATCCCTTGACATGACTCGAGCCTGCGCGCCTTGGTGGGCAGGGGTGGGCGGTCAAGCCAGAGGGGCACAGCAACAGCCCATGATGGAGCAAGGCTGCAGCAGACGAGGACCTTCTCCTGGGGAGAGAGATTTCCTTGGCAAGCTGGCCAGGAAGCTGCTCCTGGCAGCCCTGTGCTACATCCCCCAGCTGCCGTGGGCAACCAGCGCAGGAGGGAGACCTCACTCGTGGCAGTAGCAGCAGGTACTGGATGAAAATAACAGCAAGTCTGGATAAAAACTGGATTCTGGGAGGTTCTAACTAGGACAGCAAGAGTACCGCAAGTGAAAGTGGCTGGTCAGAATAGGCAAATTCTTTACCATTTCCTGTACTGAGTCCCTCACTAGGTAGTGGTTGGAGATCTTTTGGGGCTGGATTAAAGACAAAACAATGCTTATTTGCAGCAAGTAGGAGCTGTATACAAGGGGCAAAATGAAGAGATAATCTAGGTTTGGCAGAAAATGAATCACAAAAGCAGTAACTTTATTCATGTTTGTTTAGTCCTCTGAATGACCATCTTGCGTATTTACATTGTGTTATTCCTAGGCTTCAGCTGCCAGATGATGTGGTTCCTTCATCTATTTTCAGGCAAATACAATAGCAATTTAAATGAATTCAGCAGAAGCACCAGATGGAAGTGGGGATTAGAACACCTGGAAGGGGAAAAAGAAAAAAAAGAATAAAACCTATATGATTCATGGATATAAATTTGGATCATCACCAACTTTTTCATAAATGTCAGGTGTGACATATTTCATGCTTGTGGCAGGCTTGAATAGCAAGTGCTAAAGCTGCTTTACGCTGTGATTACAAGTGACTTACAGTGACTAGTTAATCACCTGTTAACTAAGCAGACTCCACACAGACCCTACCTGAGTGCACGGGTGTTGCTCTACACTCTTCATGCCCCCCACATTGAGAAGTGTCTTCCTGCTCATTATTTCAGGAAAGCCCAAGGTGTACCAAGGCGTTAGAGTAAAGATCACAGTTAAGGAGCTGCTGCAGCAGAGAAGAGCACGACAAGCAGCAACCAGTACCATGGTAAGGAAAAAACCTTTGGCTCCCCTTTGCCTCTTGCCCTTAATCCCTGTTGTCAGCTGTAACCCTCAGGCAAAAGAGAGCCCTTGGGCCTGAGCACAGAAGGCTTTGAAGGCGGAGGAGAAGAAGGGTCAGGCAAGACAGCTGTGGCAGTGCTCTGTGACAGTGATAATCTGGCCCCACTAGTGCAAGGAGACTAGTGCAGGGAGAGAGCAGACAGTGCTCCAGACATGTCACTCACCCAGAGGAGGCCCCACGTGGAGAAGTGACAGCCCAGCTTATAGATAACAGAGCACCTCCAGTACCATTATATTGGCAAAACAAGATGGGTCATGCTCTCTGTGTCCCCCTGCTTAGATCCCAGCATCAGCTGAAGGATGTATCCTCTCCAGCTTAGCTTGGGTGTCGCTGGGGAGAAACCAGAGCAAAATTCCTGTTGCGTTCAAGTTTCCCAAACCTCTTCTTTTGACAAAGGTGCGTACACATGTCCTCCCATGAGGCCTTAACTATCAGTCTTCATGGTCAATGCACCTGCAAGAAAAGGGAGTGGAAAGGGTTTAGGAATTTAGGGTAAGCATCAGTTCATGGTACCTGGCTGGCAGAAAGGAAAGGAAACCAGACATAGGATGAGACCCAAAAAGGAGGACTTAGTCCTGCCCTGTTGGGGCTGCTGTGACCTCCTAGTCCTTAGCACAGAATGGGGGTACATTCAACTGCTTTGCTGAATTTGTGTCTGTAACATGGTTCAATACCAGCGGGGCAGCTTCTAGCTCCACCTCCTCCAAAGGAAAGGAAGGGGACAGGCTCCCTGGTATGTAATCCCCCCACACACGCACCCAAAACACTCCAGCCTCTGAGAGAGCCCTCCAGCTTCAGTTGCTCTAGGCATTTGCATAAGGAGGATCATAAATCATTACTGCTTCTCGGGTCATGACATTACAGCCCTGGATGATTTTCGGATTTCATCTCCCACCTCTTGTGCCTTGGGGCAGCTGAATGTACAAACTGCTCATCAGCACAGATGTTTTTTGCTCCGCACAGTGAGGTTGCATAGTGCTCCTTTTGCCCATGGAGGAAAAACTAGCAAGGTGCTGTTGCAGGAGGTGACCTTCGTGCTTTTGTTCTTGGAGTAAATTTTCCCCCCCACCCTAGATGATCAGGTTCCTGTATTTCCCTGTCAGCTTCAGCTTCCCACTTTTTCTCAGGAAATGAAACACTCTGTTTTCATGCACCATTAAGCTGTGCTAGAGCCGGGAGCAGTATCAGAGTTGCTGAAGTGACACCGGCACAAGCAGAACAAGCCCCTCGCGTGCCCAGACACAGGGATACCCGCAACTGCCTGTAGCAACATTTCAGTGCAGCAACTGTGACATTCGTTAGCTTCTCCTTCTTAATTATATCTATCTCTGCAAGTGCTTTGGGATGCCTCTGCTGTGCAATCCACGGTCCTGGGAATTAGCACATGTTAAAACACAACTACAGGTTCATAGGCAGCAACAACACTACAGAAATAACAGTAACAGTGCAGTGAAAGACACACACTCACAAAATGATATACTGAGGGCTTTAAAACAGGTCAGTGCCATGACCTGCTTAGGCTTAGGGAACAACCACGATGTCACTCTTGTCTATGCTAGGAAAGTTGTCCAAGTCACAGCCCAGTGTCTCAGAGGCTGCCACATCTGTGAAGTGTTTACGCAGACGAGGTTGAAGCAAAATCCGGACTTACCTCAGCGTGCAGAGAAGTGCCCAACTTACCTTTCTCTTTACTTCTCTTTGGCCAGGTTTCTCTGGGCAGCAGCAGCATCCAGTTTTCGGAGTCCGTGTCTCCTCCGCACCCAGGTACAAAGCCTATGATACCATGTCCTCCCCTTTCCCAACTATTCCAGAGTCCTTCTAGCCCTTGGTGAGGCAAGCACTGCCAAATATCTACAAATGCAGCCAATCAGTGCCCGAACAGAACCCGCAAAATGCAGATGAGGATGCCGCGAGGCCAGCAGGGTACATTTTATCCTCTGCAGGAGCATGCTCACATGTTCTCATTCGCAGTCCATTTTTCCCACTGCAAGGAGTAACTGCCTCTTCAGGAAGGGATGCTCATTCCCCAGGAATAGTTCTGCAGGCTTTGCCTTTGCCAGGACGCAGTCTCTGGATCCAAATGGAGCTGCAGAGTCAGATCACCTTAGAGCATGTTGCTGAGCTCCTGTTTCTAGTGGAGTTAGCTGTTCGTGCTCTCCTCTGGCAGAGCTCACGGGAGCAAGAGGAGTGTCAGGTTTTCAGCAGCCCACACAGTTTCTTCCTCATGCACGTGAATATTTAAGGAAAGGAGTAGTGGGGGTGGGGGGAGAAGTAGCACTTTCAGGGCTTTCAGATCCTTCAATCACTCTGCAGTCAAAAGCAGAGAGATTTGAAAGGTTTGGCAGGTGTGAATATATACATTGTAAGTACAAGGAAATGATTAAATCATCAGTATCTGGGAATCAATTTGTTTATGTTAATACAGAAATGTGAGACACACTAAAGGTCTTTCAGGTAGATAAGTCTTCATCTATTTATGTATTTTGGGTATGTGCTTCTCACTTGCTCCCCTCTTCCAGCTAAGCACTTTCACCCCAAACCTGCAAACCTCTGCTAGTCCCTGTCCAAAATGCCCGGAGCAAGAGGAAGAAGTTCTAGCAGTATTTAAAGACCTCAGAGATTTCCAAAAGGACTTAAACTTCCCAAGTCATTTGCGATCTTTTGAGCATCTTTGTCCTGGTTCCTGCTCTCCCAGAAAATCCTGGCTGAACTTGAAGGCCGTTTTCTTAAATTTGTGAGGATGCTGAGCACATGAGAGTACTGATATATGACCTGGGGAAACATCTGCCTTTTGTTGGGACATACGTGGAATAACCTGCTGCTTCCCGGTTTATCTTCTCTCCTAGCACCTTTTGAGGCAGAATCCATCTCCTCTGCTCCCAGCTACTGCCCATCACGGCAGTTTTCAGACTGCCTCTCCTGCGAAGAAAGCCCTAGCTATTTGGAGCAGCTGGTAGATTCCTACCTCCAGGCAGAGGCACCCTTAGACCCAGCCCTCAGTGCTCTCCAGACGCCCTCACACTACATCTCCGACTCCTTCCAGCCAGTGCCGCACTGCTTTAACCAGAGCCTGGTAAGCTTTGCGTTCCCCAGGAGCAGCCACAAACACGCTCAGCGGGAACTGGGGACACATCTTGGGGCAAAACAGCGGCAAGCTGCTTGGGAAACCTGGTAGCTTTTAGAGGTATTGAGGAACAGCCACAGCAACTCAGGCTGCTTAATAGGACTCAGTCTCTAGCATGATCTTCTGTGTCGTCTCCATCAGAAGCAGAAGAAGAGGAAGCCCACACCTGGAGAGAGGCTGCAGAATAGGGAACATGCCTCTTCCAGATCCTGTAGATTTCCTGCAAGGAATAGCCCTGTTAGTACTAGCAGTTGTTAAACTCACAAACTGCTATTCGGTGCTGAGGTCCTAGGAAATGCCTTTTGCTTTTAAGTCCCCAAAACCTGAACCAGGGTATCCAGACCCGTCTGAGAAAGGCAGGGGTGTGGAAATAGTTCCCAGAATGGCATCCTAAGACATTGTTGGGTGTTTTTGTCTGTTTTTTTCTCCCAAACTCCAGGCTCCTGGATCCCCTAGCTCAGCTGATATGTCGAGCCCATTAAACTATAGCTGCTCCCCACCTCAGCTACCTCCTTTCACCCCGCTGCCCCACAGCCCTCCCTCTGCACTGGACACCAAGACCTACGGCTACCCTGCCGAAGAGTGGCCCTGCCATACCCCCTCCCTGTACACGGCCTCCGCCTGCTGCTGCGCGTCCTGCGGCTCCGAGCACGGGGACACGCGGGTCCCGGAGTACTTCCCCTGCCCTGGCACAGACTGCATGGACTACCTGCCACCTGTGGCCGTGGCCGATGACTTCTTTCGAAGGGCTGGTAACTGGGACATCTGCTACAGCTAATGGGCACAGCAGTTTTTACACATCCATTGTATCCAAATAAGATCAATTGCGCATGAACTATGCAAAGTACCACTGCTAACACAGCCCTGTTTCTTCTTCACTACTCACAAGTTTTCTATGCAGCATTATCACTACATTACTGTTCCTGTTTTGTATGGTCAGGATTTTTTTTTTTTTTAAGAAAGCCTAAGTCACCTTACCAGGCACAGAACTTACTAGACACTAACACTGCTCTTTTTATGACAAATAAATAATTTTGTACTCATGCTGAAGCCTGCTCATTCCTACCGCGCTGAGCATTTGCTGAACACCTCTGAGCTGATCTCTGTCCTGGCCCTGTCAGCACCAAGCTGAAGGCGGGAGGCCCACAGCAGCCTGCCTAGGGAGCAATTTCTCAGCAGTACGAAAAGTCTCGCTCACCCTTTGCAGCAGATGAAAAGTGTATGGGCCTCTCAGCACCCAGCACGCCAGCCAGAAAGCTGGGCAGCTGCTCCCTCTGAGATGGACCTGCTTCTTCTCAGCCACTGCTTTTGTTCGTGCCACCGCACTGATGCTCTCCAGCAGCCCGTGCACAACAGGCCTGCTATTTCCCGTGTAAGCTCAGTGCTTACTCTGGGCATCACGTGCCAGAGAGGCTCTGCTGGCCTGCCCAGAGGTCAGTGCTAGCAAAAAAAAAACTTCTTTGGCTACCTGTCAACACCTGCTCCCCAGGGAAAGCAGAGCTTTAGTGAGAGGCTGAGGTAGCTGCAAAACCTTTTGTCTAGTTTGGTCGGTTGATACCAGGTTTTTTCCCCACCTTTGAGCACAATGAGCTGTAATAGGAGCTAAGCAATTTCTTTTAATATAGTGGGAAAGTTGTAACACCTGAGGACTCACTGTTTGTTGCGTAACCCAGACCTTCTCAAGACTGTCTTACCTCCTTTTAGCAGCCCTAAGTGAGACAGACTGGCAAGCAGTCAGGTCCTAAGCTGAGCACCCAGACTGGAAAGAAAGAAACATTTCACATATTGAATCCAACGCAAACTTAAAAAAGATTAAGTGTGTCTGAAGGCGAACTCACAGTGTAACAAGCTCCAGGCTAACCTCCTCCTCCTCCAGACACTTCCACAGTTAAATGGAAAGTTTTCTTCTTCCTAGGCACTTAGTATATCTGCATTGCTGGGAACATAGCAAGAAACACACATGTCTCAGCTGGTAAGTGGGGATATGTCCTCCATAATACCTAAAGCAAGAGCAATCAATATTTGCTTACTCTGAAATCTATGAAGAACCAGGTAGAGATTAACTTTTTTTATTTGGATTTTTATATATATATATGTGCACACACACACACACATATATATATATATATATAAAATGCCAGTTTCTCCATCAAATATGCAGATCCTTCTTTTGCTTTTCCGAAGTCTTCTTTAAAATATTTTGACAACCTTTAATAATGTAGTTGCACCTTCTCAGTTCTTACATATTTAGTCTCAGAGCTGGTCTCAGTGATGAAGACTTTCGGTCATAGAAAGCCCATAAAAAGGAGTTAGGCAGCAGCTGTCTCTCTGCTGCAGCACAAGGTGCGATTACCCTTGTGCAAAGACACTCTCACAGTCATCATTTCAGCCATGATGGTAGAGACTTCAGTCACTTGGGGTTATCTCAAGACCTTGGAGGAGTTAAACTTCATTTCTAGCCTGCTGCCCAGCTCCCTCAGAGATTGCTACTCCTCACCCCTGCTTGCAGCACTGGCACATCTTTCACCACCTATCAGAGCATATTATCACCAAAGTTAAATAGCCACGGGTGAGGCAAGATATTCAAGGCTTCCAGTGGAAACAGGATGACCACATCTTCCCCGTGGGCTTGGCAGTGTGGGCCTAAACTTATAAGAACCAGCAAAAGCTGCTCTCATATAGCAAGGGAAACAACATGTGAAAATAACACGTGAGCATCAAACAAAGGGAACGCTCTTGTTAACACGTTTTACGACAAGATTAATAGTACCCCAGTGTACCAAACAAACAGTGCCAGCAAGGAAGTCAACTCTAGTATGACAGCTGTATTCCAGTCCAACAACATTTACATCACCTCCACATTAAACAGACACCTAAATCTGGTACAGCAGCAGCAAATCCCTGTTTTAGTGGCATATATCTGTACAGTTGTCAGTGGTTAAAGTGCAACCCCCAAGAGGACTGCCTTGTACAAGCAGAGACTGCAGTGTGCAGTGGGGACGTTTTGTCTGCCATCAAACCTATGGCTAGTGTTTAGAGATGAACACACAGAAGTGGCAAACTGGGCTGTAAACCCACCATCGCATGCCTATTCCTGCTTCTCCAATATTGCCTTACTCTGGGAAAAAGAAAAAAACATCTACCCGATGACAAATCTGTCTTCAAAGGGCTGGTCTGCTCCCTCTCCACTGAATCTCTCCCAGACTTCAGGGTTGTAGGTGGCTGAGGTCCTGTGATGGGAGCATGCCATGTGTTTTTAAAGATAACAGAAATTTAACAGCTCTTGGCACCATGCTGCATTGGACCAGCTGCTCTGAAATTATCAGCTGCTCTGATGGGACTGGGGTAATTCCAGGAAAATGCTTCTGTGCTCCTGGGACTCTGGACTCTGACAGCTTCTACTAAGTAGGTTGCACTGCCCTTCGACCCTTACAGCCACTTTGAATGATAAACATTCCTATTCCTCTGCTGCTCTTTCTCCAGTTGTTCTGCTGCTCTCTAGGCTAGGGACTGCAACTGCATTTTAGATGCTGTTGGTCTCCACTTCTATGTCAGTGGCTTCAGGTGACATACGTAGTGCTAGTAAAAGCTTGCAATTGCGGGATTGGGTATGATTAAAAGGGATGAAAGCAACAGAGCAGGACTATTCAAAGATTGTTTGTGCTCTTTTCGAGCTATGCAGAACATCATCTTTTCCCATTTCCCCTTCCCACCCTGCCAAAACACATAAGCTAAAAGAATATACTTTGGGTCATATCTCCAAAACTGCTGACACAGTATCACTGAAATTCTAGCATTTCAGCAGTCCACACCATGTGAAGTTCTGTCATCCCATGTAAACCTGTACTTACACAAAAGTTAGGAGTCTTACAAAAGCCAGAAATGGTCCCAGAAGTAACACACAATTTCAGAGAAAATAAAAGGCTCTTAATTTATTTTCCAGTTACACAGAGTATTTGATCAAAAGAACTTTCCTTACCAACAAACCAGTGACTTTTCCATGGTACCACTTCAGAAAATTTGTTTAGTGATAACAAGCTTTTGTTATTAGCAACTTATCCAAAGCCACGGGTAGGAAGGAATAAACTGTGCAAACAGAGGGATATCACAGGCTGCCAATACTGCTAAGGTTATGCAAGGAACATTCTCTCTGAAACAGTCACAAAAATATTGAGAGATGAACCGTGAAATAAGATACAACTCAAATCAGTGAGATTCACCCCAGTACAGAAGATTTAACACCCAGATCCATTCTGGGCCTTAAACAGGAATTTCTTTAATACACAGGCCAGGAGCCAGCTGGCTTAACAGGGAAGGGAAAGGTGCTTTACGTGCAAGGGGAAGCAGCAGCCACCAACTCTCTCATGGATCCTGTCCAAAGACAATATGATAAGTTTGTTGGTTGTGGCTGGCTTCAGAGAAGGTGTACTTCTGATGTACGAGCTTTGGAAACTTAAACAAGGAGATGTCTGTAATGAGAATGAGTCTTTTCTGGGCCAGGCATGGGATGTTCTCTCTGAAAATCTCATCTCTCACCTCTGGCTACAGAGCGAAGCAGCATCTCTCCCTTCCCAGAGAGACATTTTCCCTGATATGCTGGAGATGGTGATGTTTACAGATTATAAATCGCTGACCAGTCTACTCTGAACTAAACGTGGCCAGGTGAAATGATGAAGACAAACCATTTGGGAAAACAGCTGATGTATTTTTTTTTCATTGCTGCAGAAAGGCATCCCACAGACACTTCTAGAAGGCAAAAAGCCTTTAGGAACAGAGGGATGTTCCCTACTGCATCTCACGCCAAGTGTTACTCACAGATTTACAACTTTGTTGCTAGCAAGTTCAGGAAACAGACAATTTATTGACCATTTCTGTCTTGACACATCATACTGAGTCACCAATGCAGTTATCACTCGATTCAGGGCTTGTTATAGCATCGGTTAAAAGTAAGAAAGTGCATGCTTTAGCTGGCCTGTACCCAGATGTATGCAAATGTATGCAAACACATGCAAATACAAGTCTACTCTTTTGTCAGATTATGTTGGCAGGTTTGTAGGCATGATGTAGCAAGAAGCAGTAGCAAAACAGCTAGGAGAAGGGCTGAGAAAGTCGCAGAGATCTATAATAAGGTTATACGCATTTCTTAATAGCTTTCGTTCAAGCCTGCTAAACAGTTGTTTAAACAGGCTGAGTTTGCAAAGCTCACAAGTGCTTTAGAAACCCCAGCAGTCTCCTTGAGGAGCTCATCAGTGGATGATCAAGGAAGTTACTGCAGTGATTTAGGATCACTTCACCTTTTTGTTCAGTCCTGTTAGAAAAAATAACTTGTGCAACACTGAAAAAACAGCAAATTCAGAAAGCTCACTAAAGATGAGCCACCTTCTGTGAACAGGTTGTCAAAACATAGCTTTCCCTCCCCTCAGGCATTTACTTTCACTCCTACTGACCCAGCAGAGACATCACTGCCACTTGATTGCACAGCAATTCACAAATAATTTCACAGAAAGAATAAGAAGAATCTATTAAAACATCCCCTAAGATAAGTAAGGGAATAGGAGAGCACTTTCCACATTGCACTCTGTTCTTTTGCTCAAGCCCACCCCACTCAAAGATTTTCTACCACATTTATTTCTAAATGCTGTCGGTGATATCATCAGACAGTCTTCTGCTCACTCAGCTGCAATACAGCCCTGTCAAGCATAGCTCCTCAGGCCGGCTTGGCATTTTCAGGCTGTCAGGAACAGTTGGGGTATTTGCACACCACAAAGGCTTCAACGTTCACCCAATACCTCTGTACAGGGCCTACCAAAAGGTAGAGTTTTAGCCTATTTTATAGCAGTGTTTCTCAACCTTTTTTTTTTTTTTTTTTTTAAAAAAAATAAAAAATTAAGGACTGTCTTGTGTTTTCTTGCTGCCATAGTTTTCAATTACCACGAAATGAAAGTTTGACTGTACATTTCTGTAACAGCCATTCACTTTGCTTGTTTTCTTGCTTACAAGCAAGAGTACATTTGAGGATTATCAGTTGTTTTGTAATAAAGCTTTCAATTGTTTCAAAGTACATCTTATGATACATTACATATTGCAAATGGTTCACAGGTTGAAAAACACCGTCACACACCCCTGGTTTAAAGACTCTAGGGACAGAGACACTTTGATTAACCATCCTCACAGCTTTTCTAAAGGACTTGTACAACTGGTAAGATGAAGTTGAAGGCAGGCCAAAAACCGCAGGCAGCCTAGGATCTGGCATTTCGGCGACAGGAAACAAAGGCAGATGCAACTCTCCCTTTCTTCAGCAAATGCCTAATCTGCCAAAAAATGTAAAAGTTTATAAAGCACTGTGTGAAACTGCAGATGAGTGCATGTATTAGCTGTGTGTGTGTGTAGACATATGTATATATTATGTGTTTATACATATATACACACACATATATGTGTGCATACCTTATTTTACATATATATTTCTACACACACACCATAAACATTCATATATACGTATGAGATATTATAATGAACTCCAGGGGCCATGAAATCTGAGCTTCACTTGCGATTTGTTCCCATTATAAACGAGCTGTACACTGATACCTCCCCTGATCTTTTTTGAGTACCAGCTAATTCCCTTATTTATGCTACTGCACTATGGGTTTACCCAAGCAGAGAACCCCCAGTCCACACCACTCCAATCTCAGACCCATATCATATGCTTTGATGACAGCATGCCCTCGCTCTTCCCCTGATAAGCACAGAAAAACATGCGGATGTGTTAGGAAGCAGACACTATGTCAATCACGTACCTGATCCCCAGCCTTCCCAGAAGGAGCCATGTGGACTGGCTGATCGTTGTCTAAGTTTCGGATGCTCGGATCTGCCCCGTGGTCAAGGAGCAACTGGATGATTTCTTTCTGGTTCTTGTCATGTTGCAGTGCAGCTGCCATATGCAAAGCTGTGTTCCCGTGAGCCTTATGTCATTGGGGAAAAAAAAAAAAAAGGCAAAGAAAAAACAGAAACATTCTGATAAACTATGTCACCTTCTCAGAACTGTCCTAGAAGCTGAAAATGGGAGAATTGTGAAATACGGAATGAGGAAACCTCACATTATTGCTTATCTGGAGGTGAGGGAATATCCCTGCTCTGAGTTCCCCATGTATAGCTGCTCATGGCTTAGCAGGACTGTGGGAGATATAGGGATGTAGATTTCTCTCTGTGAGAGAAATAGCACTACAGATTGGGCATCTTTCATACTTCGGGTACAGATTCTTTGCTTGAACATCATGTAAGGGCTGACAAACAGTCCTGTCATCTGCGTGGAGATACAGCACTGGAGCAGACAAAATAATCAGGAAGGACTCCGGACATTCTCCTCATTCCAACCCAGAGTGCTGAGGGCTGCACTTGACTTTATTGTCTTTGCCCCATCATTAAACAGAGTCCTAAGGTCAAGGGCCAAGTTAAGCATTTCTTGACTCCAGCATTTTGAGGGACAGAATTTGAGTAGAAACCAGACACAATTTGCTGCAATACCACGGAGAGACACAGGATGGAGCACACAGCAATTTGTTGTGGAAAAGCTTTGGTATCACCAGACCGTATAGAAATCGGTGCCGCTGTCTAGTCAGTTATGACTGCTAACGGTTTGAAATGACAACGAATTAATAAGCAAATGTATATGGCCAGGTATTATTTTTAGTCTGCAAGTAGTCTCATTTAGGCAGCTATATGTTTTTTTTTTCTCTCTCTCTGAAATGATCATGTTTCTCAGGTTCATTTCTCATGAATTTGGAAGGTTTGGACATGCACTATAATCCCTATTACTATTCCATTTTTTGAAAGGAATACACGTAATATTCCAGTCCTATTGACCAGTGACACGTAGTGACTTTGAAGCACAGAAAGAAGGAAAAAAAAAGGGGGAGGGAGGAATATTATGGAAATCTTAAAAGCTCTTTTTACCCAATGTATTTTTACAAGCCCTGAACCAGCAGATCCTTGTCAATTTTATCATCTCATAAACTCAAGGGATGGTCTCAAACTCTTTATAGCATTTCTCATTAAAATGGAAGCATCTGCATTTGTTTGCTTCAATAAATGCACAAACATTTGATATCTTCCAAATTCAGGGACAGGGCTAAGAAAATACAGCAATATGACAGCTGACAGTTCCTGATCTTGAAGCTTTTTCCACTAGCTTTAATAGGGCTGATCTGAGACAACAGACACCCATATATGGGCTCTAAAAATTGTTCAGGTGGAATTTACCTCAAAGGTCTAAATGTTTTTTCTCGTTATAAGAACCACAAGGAAAGAAATAGATGAGCCAGGGAAGCCCAAACATAAAGACTCCAGCACCCCTGTTTTCATGCCTTTTTCCTCCTTAGGAGAGTTTAGAAGTTGGGATCGGGAATCAGTCAAGCTTGCCATCATATTTCTCACCATCCTAGACAGTCTACCAACAAGACTGAGGACTCCAGGTGATCCTATCACAGCAGAAAACTCAGAGGATTTGATCAGGAGCAGCTCCTGATCACTCCCGAGGACAGGCTAGTGCCTGCTTAATGGGTCTTAAAAGTTACAGAAAGAATGGAGCAAAAGGCAGTATAATTTCACCTCATAGAAAGGCAGAAACACAGTGTAGGTACCCTCACGCACAAGACAAAAACTGATTCCAGTCCAACAGAGATCTGTAGGAAGAAACACGAGCCCCATATCTACTTCCCAAATCACTGAGTAAATAGAAAATAATCAATTCCTTTCTGATGGACACAAACGCAAGGATGCTGTACGCAGTACAGGGCAAGGCTAAGAGATGGTGACCTTCTTGAACTTAAAAGCTAATGCACTGACCCTCTCTAAACAGGGAGTCACTGCCTTCTCCTCCCCTCCCACTGTCCTTCTTGATCATGCAAATAGTTCAACTCTGCAGGAACACCCAAAATATCTGCTTAGCCCTGCTGGAGGTGGGTAGCTAGCCAGGAGCCAAAGCTCTGGCTGATGGCACAGACCGATGTCCCAGCAAAGGCACAGGAATGTCAGGATTTCTGCTCACGAGGATGGGTGCAGCCCAGATACAGCTGTAAGATAATGTCACTGCTTTGTATCTGCTCAGAGGTGAAGTTTGGGGCAGCGAGGGGATGGGTGACTCAGTGGCAGCACTGGAAAGGTTTCTAGCTTGCTTTCTACATCCTAGGGATAGTCCTGCCTCCAGAAACCCTACACTGAGGAACCAGCATAAGCAAACCTTCAACTTAGGAAGCAGGGTTGTGCAGAGCACCTACAGCCACAACCTACAGCCACGACCAGTCTCAAGTCCCCAGATTCAGAGGCAATCTACTTTCCAACGTGCCTCTGCTCAGCAAGGATGCTGCCTCCCTTCAAAAAGCTGTTTTTGCTATGCTCCACCTGCTTGGCAGTGTCAGTGTCTGGTTCACTGCCTGCAGTACGTGTGTGTCTTTCCTTACTGCTCATGACAGCTTTTAAGGCTTGGTGGGTCCTGTAAATATTTTGATTCTTCAGGCTCAGACTCACAGCCAGCCATCACAACAAGCAATTTATGCTCAGGCACCAGCAGAGCTGGGAAACTTGCAAATACGTTTAAGGCAGGAAGGATCACCATTACTGAACTAGGAGTTCAGCCCTTCACCACAGATGGTCTTCCGACAAAGATCACTGGCATAGAGCTGTCCTAACTGTTGTGTCTCAGCATCACGTTGCTGTCAACAGCAAAGCGTTGCATCACTGCAGATCTGTTTTCTCAGTCTTCATCCCAAGCTCATGCTCCCTCCTCAAGTAACTGCCTCCTATGTCCTTTCTCTTCCCTGCTTCTCTTGCTCACTCCTGTTAGCTTCTCCTATTGGGAGAAAGCTCAAATTTCATGATAAAACTCAAGAGTTCCAGCCCAGCAGTACCTCTCAGGTAAGATATCTAATTACTGGAAAGCAGAGTTTTGGGTTCAAAAAAAATCAGATTCGGATTCATCAACTACTGCTCTTTTCCCTCCAGGAAAAAAAGTATGGGGGGAGAGGATACCTGATTTCTGCAGGACTAAAGACGCCTCCTAACAGCCCTGTCTACATGCAGCCTCCCACTGCAATCCAGGTCTCACATTAACTTCTCTCTACACCTCCTTCACACATGGATTTCTACACAAGTCCTCCAGCTCACCTTGCTGTTGACAAAATCCTTGGACTTGAAGGGGTTCAGCTCCAAGAAGTATCTGAGCAGAAAGATGTTCCCATCCTGGACTGTATAGTGAAGAACCGTCTTGTTGCTTTTCACATCCTGTTTACAAGCAGAAGAGCAACACAAAATAAGAAAAGTTTTGCAGAGCAGCTTAAAGACATTATACAAGTGCAATGGACAAGCCTCGGCCAGCTCTGCGGCTTTATAGGAGCACCTGTCTCCCTTCAGTGGCCATATTACTGTCCAGTCTTTGCTTCAACACCTTCCCTGAGGAAACCAGTTCCAAAATGCCAGAGTTGGGAGCCAAAATTCTCACCCAACCTCTATTCATCTAATACTGCATCCAGTCACTTGAAAAGAGCTTGCTCCTCATGCCAGCAGTTCATTTCTTCTTCAATTCTCTACTTTGAGCACAGCGCAAGCGTCAAACAGCTCAGCAGAGCTTTCCCACATGAACAAACAGCACAGAGAAAATGAGTGTCAGGGACAGGCAGCACTGATGCCTTACCCGGCTGTAGATGGAGGCTCCTGTCTGTACCAGGAGGTGGATACAGGACTCCAGCTCTTTGCTCTGGTGCTGAAAATTCCTCTGCTGCTGCTCCACCGTGAAGCAGTGACCCCGCTGCTCCCGCAGCAGCGTGTTATGAGCCAGGACAGCACAGTGCAGCGGGGTATGGCCTGGAAAACGAAGGCAGGAGGGGAGATAACAGTCCCAACAAAGTTACGGATTCAAAGAGAGGAAGTGAGGGCTTGGGGGCTGAGCGTGTGTGTCCGTATCTGTGGTTTTCAGGCCCAAGCCCTTCAGCTGGTCTTTGAAGTACAGTGGTGGTGGTTGTATAAGATGCTTTGCAAGGCACTTCAGGTTTATGTGTGCATTTAAAAACGACTGAACATTTGAGTTCACAACAAGGATTTCCCCAGGGCAGTTTCTGAAGCTACTCTGGCCTCCCAGCACATCAGCACATATCAATGAACATCAGACAAAGTCTGAAATAGTCAATATGTTTTTTTCATTTTATTGCTGCCACTATAAAATCTTCATACAGACAAGAGGTCTTACCTTCAAAATCCTTCATTTCTAAATCAAGAGGGAAACCTAGTGACAATATAACCTATAATTGACAAATGAAACGAAAAATTTTAGTTCAGTGGAGTGGAACATTGTCAAAGTCAGAATTAATTAAAACTAAAAGTCAATAAAAAAAGAAAAAAGGAAAAACATCATTTTCTGCAAGCTAAGCTACTATTTCATCCTGGATTTTAGTGCTATGAATTCTATTCTCAAATAGTAATGTTCAGGTTAATCCAGGATGATTGCTTTTCCCAAATCTAGAGGTCAGGCTACTCTCCCTTGCTCTTTACCCTGACCTAAGCAAACAAACACCTCCATAGCACCAATTCTTCTTATTATGTTACTCTTGACAAGCAAAAATGAAAATCTCTCCCTGACACGTAGTGCAAAAGTTTATTACATAAAAGCTGCCTGACAATAGATATTCTCAGTCTAGATTTATGTATTTATTTAAGGTGCAGCAGTATGAAAGGTTAATAAAATGGTTTGTTGCAAGGGCTACAGCAGTAAAAATGCACAACTTATAAAAGAAGTGAAATCGTGATCTGGAAATGAGCATTGCTTGGATTTAGCAAAGAACAAACAGTTTGAAAAATCAGCCTCAGAAAATGACTGATCTGATGAGATGCAGCTGAGTAGATCCTTATCTAAAATATTAGAGATAATACATTTTTGTTCTTGGTAGAACAAAGCAAGTTGCTTACATTTCAGCATCTTGGTGGAGAATTTTGCACTGCAGTGACTCATTCAGAACCCTGTCTAGTTAGACGAGGCACAGGACATAATCTTTCCACTGAAAGATTATGTAGAGACGTTAGGGCTTGTGCTCTCTGCTCGTAACAACAGTGTAATATAGTCAGATCAAATATTGACAAATAGCTTTGAGGTGCCTGATGATTAGAGATTAAATGTTTAGGCCATTACAGAACATAAAACAGCAACAACAAAAAATTTAAAAATTTTGCTTTTTTAAGCAAGAAAACATAGCATCTCTCGGCTTTGACCCATGGGACAAGCCCATGTGTATTTCCCCTTGTTAAGTCAGGTTAAAAAAAGGCATTTCCAACAGAAAGCATTCTGGAAAGTTCTGATGGAATCATCTGAATGAAGCACGCTTTCCTTAGCTGAATGAACACCTGTTTTCCTAAGAACCCACGATGTTACACATTAACTGCCTGCTCATGACTTAACCCAGGGCATGTGCAAAGCAGGGCTAAGGAATAATGGAAAGCAAACGCTGGCGTGCAGGTGATCCTGCAGCACTTTCACTGCTACCTCCCGCATCTGCAGCACACTCAGGACCCAGCCCTCAGGGAAATCTCATCAGCACAGCTGCTCCAGTTCTCTGCAACAGAGCTGCCCTGTTTTGCCAAGCCTCACATGAATCAAGGGATGCACAAGCCTCACATGAATCAAGGGATGCACAGTTCATTTATTTAATTTAATGGCCAAGAGCTAAGCAATTAACAGCATTGTTCCAGTATACATATCTGTGTCACGTTATTCCTTTGCAGACAGATTACCACTGCGGGTTCCTTAACAGACTAACTTCCTCTCCAACACTGTTATAGTCTGACTGGTGCACATGCTAAAGGTAAGCCCTGTAACATAGACTTCTCTCTGTGTAGAAAGTGAGGAGTATTTTTAATACATTACAGCAGTAAAGCACTCTCCCAACTGCCAGATCCACCTCTTCCCTGAAATAAAACAAGAAACCTTGGGGGCTGCTCCTAAAAATACCTCTCAAATCAGAATAACCTGGGAAGACAGTTCCTAATATGTAAAAGGAAAAAGAGACTTTGGCCCAGTTCATTGTTTATTTTTCTTTTTAAAACAGTTATTTAAAGGCACCAATACCACAACTTGATTGCAGGTTTATACTGTTAGTAATCAAAACCAGAAAAGCGTTTCCTACCTGGAGAACCTGGGCAAACCCATACGTTGCAGCGAGGTGCAAAGCTGACTGCCCTTTGTTGTCTACAGCATTAACATCTGCTCCTATCTGGATCAAATCGTAGACAATAGCTGGCTGCCTGGCAGTGACAGCCACCAGCAGAGGAGTCTGAAACAAGCAGCACAGCAAACAAAATGTGAGAGTCTTTAGGCAGATGCCACCATAAGAAACAAAGGGAAAGGGTACTTAAGCCCTGTTTTGGATAGTAGCCCAAGCTCAGCACCTCAGAAGTGTATTTTATTTCAGAGGCAACACCCTTGGCATATACCAGTCCTTCACAAATTCTTTGGCCTAAGAGACTACTGTCAACAGAGGGTGCCTTCCTAGGTCAGTGTTGCCTTAGACCACCCTGTGAGCCACAGATTCAAAAAGACTGTTTTCCTCCCACCTAACTTCAGGTTGCTGTCAGAGACACCTCTAAGCCAGAGGTAGCATTGGCCAGTGCTGCTTCTACAGTAACCCAGGGGCTGAGCTAAATGTTCAAGGCAACAGTCACTCCCAGCCACGCAAAGCCCATGCCCACCCCAAATGCTGCCATATGTGTGAGGTGGTGGCCCGCATTACCTTTCCTCTGTGCTCCTTGGCATCAAGTCTCTGCATCTCTTTCATTCGTTCTGCAGCTGCCAACGCATACGCCCTCATACCTTTAGCTGCACAAATATGTAGAATTCTAAGACAGTAAATAAAGACACTGATCATTGCTTAGCCGTGAATCACCCTGGGAGCAAACAGTTTTACAGGGCAGCTTTGAGGGGGTTATACCTGGGGTTTCACAAAAAATCTGCCATCGGCACTGGAGAGCTTCACATTGAAAGCACCAACTCTCAGGGAAAGGCCTTCCTACCTCAAAACAATTGCTGTTTTCAAGAACCCGCAGCATTCCTGAGCTTTGACATCCTCTCTCCTTTCCACTTCATCACACTGGCAGATGAGACTCACACTTGTGCCAAGTGGTATCCAAGTCCTCCACAAACCCTAGTGTTGGGGCCTAAGGTACTGCTTCAGATTATCTCATTTGTTTCTGGTGCTACAGGCTTGACGTGGTAATATCTCAGCCTTTAAAGTAACAGCAAGCAGAGAATGCTCAGCTCTACTTCATTATCCAAACTAGCAGCAAAGTGCACTGAGTCTTTATTTTGCCTATAAAACAAATAGCTGTCATGTCCCATAGCAGTTACAGGTCAATTCGTAGCTTTCTGGTGCCACGGTCCACAGAGAAGCAGAAAATGCTGTGTTTCAGCAGCATTGATCTGTGTCTGAACTGCAGAGAACTATACAGAGCTCTGCACCACTACTCTTCCTCCAGGTCATGTTTCCAGTGGTGTCAGGTATGCCCTAAAACCATGGGTAGCTTTGTGCTTCTTCTTTGCACAAGAGGAGACCATCCTACGGGCAGTCGCATCAGTCCCTTCAGGCCTTAACATTCGATACTTTTGGTCCAGAAGCTGATAGGGCATCCCTTCTTTTCCCAGATGGTTTTGTAGCACAGGGCCACACCTTGAAATCTGAGAAGTGGAAAAACCACTTAAGTTCGGTCTGATTTCCAATCGACTTCAGGAATAGCCAAGGCTGCACTTACGCACATCCCCAAGGATGTTAACAGAAGATAACAGAGATAGGACTGACATCTGAACTGCATGAGGGCTTGCACAGGTAAGGACTACATGAATAAACAGCATTTCAGGCAATATTTGGATCATAGAGTTCCTTTTTAGTCTCCCTTGATTTGCAAAATTAGTAGAAAGCCTAACAGCTAATCTGTGCTTGCAAATAGCCCATAAGCATGCTGTTGAATTGAGTGAGTGCTAAGCAAACACTCTGTTACCCTTTTGGAGAGGAAATAAAACACTTTAGGCATATGAAAGTTACTGTAGATCTTTATTGAAGATGATTTTGTCTTTTTTCAAACCAGAACAACCCAGAAAGAAATTCTGAAACAGTTTATCAGTGGTTTATAATCATACACAGAATTTACATACATTGAAGTAAAAAAAATTTCAAAAGCAATCTTAGCAACTATGGACTTGATTCACAACTGCATTATCCCAGTCTTGTCTTTTGAATGTGTCTATACTTTTAAAACTGGATAAAGCAGTGATGAACTAAGGTGCTTTCAATTAATTTCTTTGCTGGGTTTTTCTGCCAATGCAAGCCACTAATTTCAATGCACCTGAAATACTGTTTTTTCCAAATAATTTTATAATCACTTGCATGATCTATTATTTAGCTATTCTGGATTTGTTGATATTAAAACAATGAGATATTTTTTGGCAGTCTGAGATTTTTGACATTAGCTTGCAAACCTCACTCAGACATGAACTGTAAGGTCATTAAAAGTATTGCCTGGGTGGCAACTGAAGTGCTGGGCACCAGTTAATAAACAGTGCAATAAATTATTCTTCAGAGTCTTGTAAATAATAACATCACCTAAGGTTCCTGGGCTTTAGAAAGCAGAAAAACCCAGAGAAATTATGTTCATTGGCCAGCCCCTTGTTCATTAAGAAAACAGTAAAGAAACTTAGAAGTGGATACATCTCCTGCAAATATTTTTGCCTCTGGCTTGGTAGTCATGTATATCAACAATAATATTTACAGTCGCATCAGAGGAAACAGTAAAGCTACTCACCCACCAGAAAAGAAAATAAGAAAGCTGTAAAGAGAATGCATGCACTTGGGAGACTATAGCACAAAAGCTTTCCATAGCAGAATGGCACACGAGAGGTCACTAAGGTTGTCTGTCTCTGCTGCCAAATTCACACTCAAATGCTAGAGAAAAAAATAGAAGTTTTGCCAACTAATAATAACTAATGTCATGAGCTCCTTGCAAGACTGAAGTCCAGATTTTGGAAGCTCCTGTCTTCTCAATGAGCTCCTTATATGGGGCCAGGTCTTGCAATCCTGACCCAGGCAAAACTCCCGTTAACTTCAGTGAGGCCAGGATCTGTCCATTGGTAGAACATGAGGCATTACCAGCCAGTCTCAAAAACAGGCCTTCCTTATCTTTAAAGCGTATATTTTAGAGTCCAAAAACATCCTGCAACTGAAAGATCTTGACTCCAAACTACATATACAACAGCCTTGAAAACATGACCTGCAAGTGAAAACAAACACTTGATCTAGGCCATTTTGTGCTGCTCGGCAAATAGGGAGCCTTAATACTAGCTCAACTGCAAAGATTTCTTGTCTTCAGACCAATGCACCTACCGCACAACAGTAAACCTAAACAGTTTAATTTAGAAAAGAAAAATCTCATTTTAGGCCCCCAAAATACTTTCCAGTGCCTACACCTGGTAAAGATTCCTGCACGGACAAAATAAACACACACACACAAAGCATTTACACAGAGCTCTGAAAGACAGTCCTATCGAACCATCTCTTGCCAACATTTAGAGACGAGTGTACCCTTAGTAAATGCTAGGTCAGAGGTGGCTACACTGCAGTATGTCAATTAGAGACCATGCCCTGAGCCAGAATGAGTCACCTTGTGTTGAGGCTGAGCCTAAATTCTGCAGCATTAAGATCTTGCAGAAACTGTAATGGCCCAGCAATCCTGTGCTGAGCCCCAGGACAAAGCGAATTTCACACACGCAAGACGCAAATTGGTGCACTAAAGGTGGACAACAAAGCATCAAGGAAAGTTCCTCCCCCACTGCCCCCACCTGCTTTTCCTTTTCTTACTCAAAATTCACTGTGGGGCCAAGTCAAGTATTGAGTAAGCAAGGACCAGGCTCAAGATGCGCAACTTAAAGCCCTTCAACAGAGAGAGTGTGATTTAAAACATACGTATCGTTGTCTTCATCTTCCAGAAGCAGCTTCTCAATGGGCAGTGTGCCGATGACTCGCCTGGCATCCTCCAGCTCCTGGGGGGCTGCCTCGGGAATGGAGATGGGCAAGGGCACAAACTGTGGCCCCGGAAGCGTGGAGGAAGCTGGCTGATACTGCAAGGTGGAGGCTGGCAGTGCGGAGAGGGGCTGTGCCCATGGGAAATACGTGAGGGGTGCCTGCTGATCCTCCAGCTGAGGCACGACTGCTGGGGTGGTGCTTCTGGGCTGGTAAAGTATGAAAAAAATAAAATAAGTGGCCAGGTAAAGAGGTGTGGAGGGGGCGAGGGACAACAAAGCAACAGATTAAGGATGCTCAGTCTAACTCTTAACATCCCTTTTCCTGTCTCGGGGTAAAGCTTTATGCTCAATGTGACAGTTTTCCCACGCTGTCCCCCCACCCTGCCCCTGAGAGTAGTGGCTGTGGGAGTACCAGGTGCTTGCTGGCAGTAATTTGCACTCATGACAAGTTCCCTCTAGCTTTCTGTTCCCACTCCAACCCTCACTGTAAGCCCATGAGACAGTTACACCCTGTGCTTAAAACTGGCCTCCTTAACAGTCTCTTTTGTAACATTAACTCATGAGTTCAAGGTGCACCTTAGGTGCCACAAGGCTGAAGGCAGTTAATTCTGGCCCCCGTGAGAGTCCATCCTGAGCAGCCCCTCACAGCTACCACAGAGCCACATTTGAAATGGCAGTACTTCCTCAGTGGTGAAGGTTGCTGGCTGATTTGGTGCGTTTCAGCAGCTGAACTGAAACATTCAAAAGAAAAGAAGCTGCTCGGGTTTGCTTGAAAATTCTAAGGGCAAATTATCTGAGATCAGCTGAATGAATTTTGTGGAGCCTGAAAATGCTCCAATGAAATACTCTGCTACGTATAGGTGCTGCTCCAGCCCCCCTGCCTTTTTTTTTTTTTTTTTTTAAGAAATTTTTGAGAATTTTCCAGCTCCACCCAGTGGACATTGCTTTCACTTGAAAAAAAACAGTCCATGTATGCGTGTATTCTCAAAGCTAAAGGGTAAAGTATCCTTGGAGACTGCCCAGAATCTCAGGAATGACTGTGTCCTTGTTACTTTCCCGTAAAATAGTATGTATTGGCTGTACAACACTCTGTGAATCTATCCCATGAACGACTATAATTCTACTTTCTGAAACATTGCAGATTAAAGCTGCAGAACACATTGTCAAGTTGGAAGTGATGACAACAGTGAACTTAATGTCCCTTACTACTGTTCTTGAACTTTCAAACAATATTCTGCAATAAACATCTGTCAGAGCCTTGATCAAACTCAGGACACTGGCAACCCTGCTGCTGACTTCAATGAGAGATGACTCATGTCCCAGGATAGCAGCAAGAGTCATCTGTCTGTTAACAATGTGGAAAATGATGAAGGGTGGGGAGACCTGAGAAAATGGCAGGAGAACCTGTCTGATTTCAATGCAACTGCCTCTTTTTTGTCACTCTCAAACGACATCAGCTCCCAGCGCAGAGTCGACAAGGTCAATGCTAGAACAACTATAAGGGCATAGATGCAAAGACACACAGTGTCATAGCAATTAAGTAAACACATTAATTAAATCCTAGACTCCCTATGATTCTTCCTGGAAAGAGGAGATTTTGTCTTGATTTTTAACATCGGTATTTTGACTTACTGCAAAATTGGTGATCAGTGGTTGGGAAGCGTAAGTAAGAACAGATGAAGGTCCAACAAGCGTGTAGCTGGGACACACAGGCTGAACATACATATCTGCTGTGTATGGACAGCTGACTGCTTCATGGGACACATAATCAGGATATGTGGTCCACTGAGTTAGAGGTTGTAAGGACGTGGGTGAGGGCTGGGAGAGCCAACCAGAACAGAGCCCTCCTTCATCTGTGACAGGCAATGAAGAGGCAGCAACATCCATATCAATGCAAGGCTGGCCTGGAAAACAGAAGATGATCAAAGTCGAGGAGCTCGGTTAGAGCCCTCCCTGCAGTGGGAAGGACAGATACTTAGAAAGGCAGGGAAATGTTACCCATTGGTGAATATGAAGGAAGTGGCTGATGAGGTAAAACCACCTGGAAAAGAGAAGAAAAATATCCAAGAATCAGGCTGCAAGTTCAATTCCCTTTGAGAAGCATACACTTCGGAACAGAATGTATTAGCTATTATGCATTTAATACGTTTTGATGCTAGGGAAACCTGAAGTTTCCCCAGGTGGTCCAAGCCTGGCAGACACTACATGTGAATTCCAGCTCTGTCTCAGGGCCTAACCAAAGTTGATGTGCAACTTCAGCTCAAGAGGGCCTTAAACAAAATATACATTGCACATGACACAGAAGGAGTTCCTCTTCAGAGAGGAACCAGTCAAACCATTTCCTCCGCGGAGGGTAAGTAGAGGTAGGTTGTAACTAATAACCAAGCAGTCAAGTATGGACTCATCTCCTTTGTGCTCTTGAACATGCTGCTCAACTTCCAAGCTACTTGCTGTTCCTAGATGTTAGCTCCTGCCAAGTGGCAAACACTTTCACCTTTACAGAAAGTCAACAGTGATTTAAGTTACTCAGCACCTGAAAGGCACCCTATCTAAACTGAAGAAGTATTATTGGTATCTTCAGGTAACATAAGCTTCCAACACCTCGAAAATGCTTTGCAGATGCAAAGGTTCCTTACATTGCCATAGTATTGGCAGCTCATGACAGGGCTGGTCAACCACGTAGAGAGGAAGCATTTTCCGCCTGTGTTTGTTTTTTTTCTTACCGTTGTAGCAGCCGTTGAGTTGGCATTATGAACATTTCCCCGTTTCCTCTTCAATAGCTCCTTCACCGGCTCTTTAACACGGACACCTTGATAGGGGCGAGGCTGTGGCTGTTGTTCTGGAGAAGAAGCTGAGAAAGAGATGCAGGTGACATTTATTTTCCTTTCCTGCCACCAGCACAGAGCCAAAAGCCCCATGGCAGCCCCTGTGGTTGCAGGCTGCTCTCTCTACATGGCCAGTTTCCAGATTAAAGCACACTTTCCTCCTGAGCTAGTGGTGCCTTTTTGCTGACAGGGGATGTATCATGCCATAGGCTCCCTCTGGATCTTTGTTGCTTGGATGACAAGGACATCACACAGATCAGACCATGAGAGAGCTCGAAGCTTCTTCTGTCTGTTAAATGACTGCAGCAACACTGAGACACTGAGCCCCTTTGTGGTGCATTTGAAGAGCTTTGGTACATAATTGACAGCCTGAAAACTCTGGCAGGCCCTGCCGCTGGAATGGCCTGGAAGCCAGGCCTAGTCGTTTACCCAGTCAAGCTGGCAGGTGTTTTTATGGTCCACGGAAGCTGTGCCTTATCAGGCACGGTCTGTAATGAACACAGTCTGTTAAATAAATAGCCATATCAGTCTAGACATTTATGAAAGCCAGGGAGAATGTAGTACCAGGAAAAAGGATCTCTGCTGTTACAATACAGAACAAGGCTCTGTTCCTAAAAGCAACAGCTATCAACAAAACTCCACCTCCCTACGCAGGTGAGTTTTATACACACACAAAATGAGAAGAGCAGTATTGAGGCATATACGCCAAAGGAAGGTTATGAAGGAAGTTCTCTTTCAAAATTTTCCAACTAGGTAGAAAAAAAGCAAAAACAGGCAGAAGCGAAGGACAGTCTATTGTTTCTCAAACAGCCTCTACACTATGCCCTTCATTTTGCTGCCTTCAGTGTGTTAATTTTGATTTTTTTCTCCCCTTAATCTCTGAAGCTGAAATTCTCGTTTCCTCAGGTTTCTGGCAAAAGCAGCATGTCAGAAATGATTTTATTCCACTCAGCCTGAGCCTTCATACACCTTACATCATTTGCATTAGCTTTTACATTGCTTTTGGTGTCATTGATTTGCAGTACAGTGATTTACATTCACTTGAGGGACAAATCAGACTAACAGATACAGAATAGAGATTGGTTAGTAGATATCTATCACACAAAACAACATAAATGCTGTCCAGGTAGATATAAACTAATCAAGGGTACATATTCAAGAGAAATGTGCTAAATTCTGTACTTAGTAGCAAGCTACAAATACAACACGAGGCAGAAAAGCATCCTTTGGAAAGCCATTTCACACCTCACTTGTTTGACATGCATACCTCACAGCTTTTGGGAACAGGCACCTGTATTTAAATGCCATCATAGTCCAGAATCATGTTTCTATTACAGCTTTCTCCTCATAGCATGGCCAGGAGGTTGGTCCTGGGATAGTCAGCTGGGATGTGACACAGCTTTGCAGACAGCTAACAAAGATGATTAACTGCAGAGCTTAAACCTATAAGCTCTGACCCGTTTTGAAAACTGAAGGTAACAATCAGCTGAAGAGGCCTATTATGAAGCCTTGCAACAACTGTGGTTAGAGGAAGCACAGTTCTTCATATGCCAAGGCCCTCAAGCCATATCTTACAAGAAGTATTTGGAGGCAACTGATAGCAGAAAGAGGCTGTAAGATATTAAAGCTCAGGAAGGCCCGATATTTGTAAAACCACTGATAGCAGTACTTGCCTCCTGCTCCATTTTTACTGCAGTTTGATTTGTAAATACGCCAGTTGATAAGTTTCAATTTCTCAAGGCCACAGTCGGCCTTCAGCTTTATGAATTATAGCTACATATATTTTGATTCATCTCAAATCTTAAATTCAAAGTATTAATCCACTCAGAAATCATTTCTTAACATTTATGTTCTGTACTTTGCATAACAGAACATAATGACTCTTTACTTTTTATCACCTCTTCCAGCTATATGCAGCTCTATCCACAGAGATATCTCAGTTACACCTTTTGGGGGGAAGAAAAGTGGTGTCTAAATACAGACATTGTAAGCTGACCTCAAAGAAGTATTTAAAAGAATAAACATCTCCGCTTTAATTTCATTAAAGAATGAAATACTTCCTTCTCTTCAACTTTGTCATAACTATTGAAGGTTTACTCTTTCTGCCTCTTTACATAGCATTTAATCACGAGAAGATAAAAGGCCATTATAAATAGTTTTGGTACCAGACACCGCTACAAATATATATTCAACTGTTCTCATTATTTGCTACCTTTGTGCGTATATGGAAACTTTTGTGTTTTAAATTAGGAGGTGAAAAAAGGTGATTTTTCAGGCACTGCCTGTTCTTTCTTTCTGTGGACACTCTTTGTGGGACTTCAAAGTGGAATATTAGGTGATTTTTCAGGCACTGCCTGTTCTATCCTTTCTTTCTGTGGACACCCTTTGTGGGACTTCAAAGTGGAATATATGCATTGTCACAAACCCTGTGGCTTTGGAAATACACTTTGCTGAAGGAATTAAGGCCACTTTAATTCTACATGCAAGAATCCACAAGCGGCTTTAATGTAGTTCACATTTTTCTTTTAAAATTTAATTGATGTTAATTTATCTGAATGTTCCAGCAAACAAAAGATGGTGCTAAAGAGCACCTTTATATGAGCAGTACCGATAACTCTGAAAATGAGCTAGATACTAGACAAGAGGCTTGAAATAAGGAGTATTACAAAGGTTCCTTTTTGCCCTTATATGAAATTTATTTACATTTGGAAATGATTTATCTGAACTTTACTGAAGGCACTTCAGAGTCAGATGTTGCTGCTGTTCATGCTGAGTGAAAACATCAGTTTCGCCAAAGTAAATATGAGCTCTGCTATAGATTGCACAAGAGGCACAATTGTGAGCCTTCACACCATTTTCACAGGGCATCCTTGCAGAGTCAGGGTGGGGAAGGATGGCAGTTTCAGGCTCCAGGTTTGGGGGATGGGGAAGGAGAAATTTACTGTAAAAGCTGACAAATATACCTATTCAGAGTTTCCGGAGTAAAGCAAAGTAACCAAAAACTGAAAAGACAAAAAAAAAAAAAGAAAAAGAAACCCAAAGTCTGCAGAACATATTTCAGTTCCCCCCATGCTGACCTCCAGAATTAAAAATAATGCTAGCACAGCTGCTTTTCCACTCTTGAAGTGCAGACCATGTCTGAGCATTACAGAGGAACCACAGCAAAATGGTTTGGCTTTGGCACAGAATTCATCACAAAGCAAAAGAAAGATGACCATTTAAAAATAAAAGTAATTTGAGAAGTAACGATCGTCAATAAATACGGGTAATTTCTTCATAAGAATAGTTTAATCTCCTGCTTCTTATACCAGGGCTTCCTCAATAAACTAAGAAGCCTGCTTTGGACTGAGTTTCAATACAAGACTATTAGCCGGTTATTTAGGTCATGCATCGCAAATGCCAAAGTCCATGTGCCCAAATCCCATTCAAACCAATAAATTCAGTGGCACTTGAGAAAGTTACCAAATACACTAGCCCCAGTAGCTATAAGTACTTAAGGAACACACTGTAGAAGACCACTTGCCCAAGATGACCCAAAAGCAGGTTAATAGCTTAGGAAGATATTCTGTACTGAGCTATTTCCTTAGCATCTGGTACAACAGTAGCCCATTTTTGCATGATAGTTGCTTTCTCCAAATAATTCTCAAAGCGAGTTTCTATATGCAGATATAGTCTTCTTAAAAATATCTAACATCCATGAAACACTAGCTTCGATAAAAGACCAGTTGGCTATCGAAGACAAAGACATTGCCAAACATTTAGACCAGGCACCTTTAAAATTCATGTGCCTCTGCACTTGTATTAAACTATTGCTAAAATGGGAGAGAAGATAATGACAAACAGCTGTTGAAAGACTGCAAAGATCAAACTGTGACAGGTTTCACATCAATGAACTTCATATCAGCACCACTGGCCTTCACGCACACATCAAACGCTGATCATTTTAAACCTTCATCCTTTCCAACAAGTCAGAACAATTTCCTATCAGGCCAAATTTCAATTTGAAATACACTCATAATCTTTAAGAGCTTGCATGACTGCTTGCCTGCAACAGCAAATTACACTCCTGTCACTGCTTCAGAATATTTACTGTTTCTTTGCTCACGCATTGGCATGTGATAAGATTATCAATTGATCAGCATTACTAATGTAAATATTTTTCTCTTTACCTCTTTCAGCTCCAATGCAACAAAATTTTGAGGAAACAGATAATAGAAAACTATCTTATTTACAAAATACACCAAAAAGTAAATCTTCAAACAGTAATTCTTGAAAATCAAGAAAAAGTTAGATTTCAATTAACAAATTGTCAAATTTCTGGCTCGGATCTTGAAGACCGAGCTGCTGAAGGAAGCTGCTGATGCTTATTGCACATGTCAAAGTTCAGGTAATAAAAAGGACAGAGGCTTAACTCTGAATGCAGTTAAGAGTCCAACGTGGACAGTTGGACTCTCATCAAAACCTGCTTACAATGAATCACTGACGGCCCGTTTAGCTTTTTTTTAGGTAAAGGAGCAATACTGTATTTTACTGGTTGGCATTTTCAGGTGACTGCAGATGCAGATTCCTTCAAAAATAAGTTTCAAAACATGTCGACACTGGTGCTATTATTTTGTGTTTGCTGCTACTTTGGAAATAAATCATGTGATCAGTGCTGACATCAGAACCGAAACGACTGTTTTTGTAATATTGATAATGTTCCATAGTACATCATGGCCACAGTGAAGAGCACTTTGATAAAATCTTGCTCTTCAACAGCGAAGGCAGGTATTCCTTCATATACATATTATTTAATCAGTCCCCTTGTATTTACATCTAGCCTACCTAACCATTTGTAGTAGCAGATCAGCAAAGATCCTGTGGTTAAGACAAGGAAACCTAGGTTCAGTTGCTAGCTCTGCCAGACTCCCTCTGCAAAGTTGAGAAGAGAGTCATGTAACAGATATCTAATCTCCGAAATTATTCAGCTGCCTAAGGGTAAGTGTTTCAATCTAAGTGTTAAAAGCACTTTTTAGTAGTTTCAAAA